ACACTAGTAATAACACACTAGGTACACTAATATATCCGTATATGCATGCAGGTAACACACTGGTTAAGTCACTGACACTTGTAGAATCACACCATAAAATTTGTTAATACACCCGCATATTTATTAAAAAATATTTATTAAAACACACTAAACACTTATTAAAGCACAGTAGGTAATACAGGGACAAGCACAATATCGGTAAAGTAAACCCTTGACTCGTACCGGTAAGTGTTGACAGGACCGATCCGACCTCCTCGACTTCCAAAACAAAACTGAGCAGCGGCGACCTCTTCAAGTGCAAGTGCGATTGGTAGTTTACAGTAGCCAATTAGACATCACGTAATCGACCAATAGATCAAATCGAAGTGCAAAAGTGATTGCTAGTGTACAGTAGCCAATCAGACATCATGTAATCCACCAATAGCGTGCAGCCACTCTCATTGGTTGCTGTATAATTATTCTAACGTCATATTCTTTATAATTTTATATTTCTTGGTAGTTTATTAATAAATTTATTGTTGTAATTATTTAAATTTATTAATTTTTTTTAACTTAATCTTGCAGATATGTTGCAAAATGATTATTTATTAACATCTCACAATTACTATAGGACCCGAAATTTTTATTTGTTGAATAGAAAAGTTATTTAATTTTTTAAAAATGAGAATTTGTTCTTTTTCATCATCACAATATCGAACGAAAATAATTTTCCATATTTTATCCATTATTTCTTTGTCATAACGAATAAACGTATCGAATAAATTCGATTTATTCTGATTACGTGAGTAGGGACTGATTTCGTTATTTCTTATTCATGAATGAATGATAATTCAAGAATAATCCAGATTTTTTATTCGTTATTTGATGTAATTTTCATCTAACAGCTTTCTAATATACCGACGTTATACCGACGTCGGTATTATCAAAAAATAATGTTTTCGACGATGTCGGTATATCAGATTGCATAATATGAAAATGCTTATCAGGAGTAATTCATATCAGACGATTTGCAATACCGACGTCGCTAAAAATGTCATCTAAAATGTTGTTGTTTCCAACCCTAGGTGGCGGCTATGTAGAATTGTTAATGTTTTGTTGTGTGCTTTGATTGAAATGTCATAATGCAAACGTTAATTTAAAGGAAATTATGGATAGAATATGAAATTTTATAGTTGTACGTCGTAAAGCTGTTTTTTGTAATAGTTTTGTAATCGGTGTTTATTTTATGAATTGTTTAAATAGTAATGTAAAGTCATAACCGTGAATCATGTACAACAAATACATGTTTAATAACATATTCCAATGATATTTTATACAAGAACTTTTATTAAATTTTATTATTTATTACTGCAACTACGATTGAAAGTTGTGTAAAGACAGCAATGATGGAAACTTCACGAACTTTGTACCTTAACCTCTTCAGTGAGGATAAAATTCATGTTCTCAAAGAAGTAAGTACAGGTTAATGAACTTTGACACTTTATTACATTAATTATTTACAGTCATAACATCAGTTTGTATAATTTAGTTGCTACATGCTTGTGTGGACGAAATATGTGGAAGACCAGGACCATCTTATCATAAGTTTGCGAACAGCATGGATTGGAATAAGGGAGAATATGAAGAAACATATAAATTGATATCTATGCTTTTAAAAAATCCAGCTTCCTTGTATTTAACAGAAGAAAAGGTACAATTACATTTTACATGATCCATGTAAAGTTTTATCTATAATAATATAATACTTTTTAGATGCCTCAAGAGTATCATGAGCTTCCAGAGCATGTACAACAGAATATATTAACTTGTTTGAAAGTGAGAAGGGAACAATTAACTGATGCTTTGTTAAAAGAATATTCTAAAGAGAAAGGTGAAACAGTAACTGATTTTGATTGGAGATTGAAGGTAAGCTATAAAAAGCAAACATAGGTATATATTATTTATTAATTTGCTTACCTGTTACAGCTTGTTATGGGTTCCAGTAAATTAGCTTCCTTAAGAGAACCGCTTCTTCAGTTGGATCTCGTCGTCGAAAATAATGATTCGAAACGTATCTTAGGTTTGGAATTAAATAAAGATGAGTTGGATATGTTTATAAATGCAATGGAAAGCATAGTGCAATAAGTTTTATGTAAATGCAATATTGTAAATAAAATAACGAATTATTCTTTTTCACTACCGTTAGACGATTGTAATAGGATTTTAAGATGAAATAAAAACACACGATCGTACACGTGTTTCACAGTTTATTATAGGTTATAGATAAATGTAGAATAGTTTAATTACTATTATAACTGCTCATCGAAGATACTGAAGACTGTTGGTCTGTGTCTGAGGCGTGTTCGACTCGGATGTCTCGTTTACAATTTTGTATTATCCGACGAAGCAAAATAGATAAACGAAATGGCTTGCGTCGAAGGCGCCTCAGAAACGAAACGATTAATAGTTCGAGTGCACAGAGATCAGTCGGGTTCAAGGATTTTTTTTCATTTCTTTTTTCGTTTTTTTTTTTCTTCAAATAAAAAAGTTCGCTCTCGTCGCCAAAACTTGTCTCGAAAAAACGGTAAATTTCGTTGTAAAGATCATTACGGACAATATATTTAATGAAAAGGTTTTACTATACAACTTTAAATTTTACCTCTTTCTCCTTACTCATTAATATATCGTTTAAAAATCAATGCCGGTCGCGGGCACAGTGAACGCTCGCTCCAATTGTAACACTTACAGTTATTCTTGAGAGATTTGGAGCATTTTACATGTATATATGCGCGCTTTTTTTTCGTTTAAACTTTACGAACTACGCTACGGTCTTAATAAAAAAAGCTTTCGTACGGAATTAATTTACTTCTGAAAAATCTGTATAAACGAATATCCCCGTTCTTTTTTTGTTACGTGGTAATTGTGCATGTTTCTCGTAATTGTAGTTAGGCGATATTTTTTTTTTTAATGATTATTATAAAATTACGAATAGGCTTCCTCGTAAGTAATTCTCGTATGGAGAAAGTAGTAAGAGCATTTCGATCAAAACGCCGAATTTACACAAACGCTTTTCTTCTATGTCTAGATTATATATCACTTACACTGTCTCGACATACTGTGTGTTTCTCGTGTGTTGCATGATACTTGCTTGCATGTGTGATTGTGTGTCGTGTGCTCGCGCGTACCAAAGTCATACGTAGAAGTGTGCATTTCCTCGTTACAACGTAAAACCATGTCTCTCTCGATTGTGTACACAATTGTATAAAAAAAAGATAACGCAAGGACCGCATAAGAAATACGAGCAAAATCATCGACTTCGTTATCCTTTAAAAAAAGTCGCGACCCGAGTGTTTCATCACTCGAGACGTTTTTTTTTGACGTAATATCCTGTAATAATTTCGTCCTCGCTCTGCTTTCTCCCGTCTTATTTTACTCTTCCCTTCGCTCTCTCTCTCTCTCATTTCCTGTTTATATTCTGGCAAAAAGACGCATTTTAGTGTTCTTCTTTCACATTTTCCTGTCTTTTCTCATCGCTCAATTTTCATTCCTTCGCACTCTCTCTCTTCTCATACATACAGAACGCACACGCACATCTTTTCCTCTTACTCTCTCTCTCTCAGTCTCTGATCTTTTCCTCCGTTACAATTTTCTCTTCCTTTTACACTCTTTCGACATAGCCAACAGCAATGTGCAATACAGTTACGGGAGGGCGCACGCGATTCAATGAGTACATTTGTGTATTTTTTTCTCTGGAATTACCCGACAAACGATGTTTTTATTCGAATGTTCACTGTTATCTCGCTCGTCCGTCGCGCGATGATCACACAGTTCGACTTGGCGTTTCAGTAACAATGACGGTTTACGAAATTTTTACACAGCAGGGCCACCACGATTACGACCCGCGCGAATAGGCACGGCCCAATGCGTTGGGAGATTTATTATTTAATCGATCGCGTGGAAAAAAGGTAGTAGTAAAAAATCCGCTTCAAGAATACTATCCGCGGAACGGCAGTACATTGTTTGTATTTTCCTGAAACAATATCTAGTTTTCCGTTTTATTCGGCTCGTTCTTTCCCTATAGCCATTTCGTGAACGTTTATCTACTTCGCCCTGCCGTCAAATGCCGTGTCTAATAATTATTAATAGGCCTACTATAAAGTCTATATGCTCTCGCGATGTCGCGGTGTAACATCGTCGTCGTTCCATGTTTTTTTTATCATTTTGTTTTTTTCTTTTTTACCAGTTGTTATTGTTGTTGCTCGTAACGAAAGAACGTTATTTTCTGTTTAGTTGCAGGAATGGTCCAAATATACATATCTATATAATATACTTTTTTGGTTTTAACGAGAGAAAAGAACTTTCTTCTTCCCAAAATACACAATTCGGTTAGCGGCGTTTATTCGTTCATATTGTTTTGGTAATGTGCGTCCGCGATAATTTCCTGCGAACAATCAGAAACAAAGTTGCACGGGTTGAGTGAAAGGGTTCGAAATGCAAAGAGTTAACGCCAAAACAAAATACTTACGTTTGTGTTACATTCGATGGTTGCCGCCGCAACAGCCTTGTCGCTTATGTCCATCTCTTCGATAGCCTTTAACAGAAGAGAAAGATATGTAACTATCAATAAAAGACATCGATATGACACGATAAAATTACTAGCGAAAATGAACCCAACTATAGTTTTAAATCAGATGGCCCCTCGCTCAATATTCTTCTTTGCACATTAAATAAAATTAATGGCCTCAGAATCGCTAACGCAAACGCGCGCGAACGATCTTTTGGCGATCATCACGTAATATAGCAGACGACGGGTGTGCTAATTCGAAGGTGTCTCGCGTTTATTTATAAAGCAACGACGACTGTTCAGAAACTAGAAACGGGACAAACGCGACAGGTTACCTTGGCTACGGAGGCAACATCCTCGGTGATGGCTGGTGCAGAAGGTGGAGAGGCAGGTACCACCACTTCACTTGGGACGGCTGGAGATGTAATCTTGGAAGTTTCGTCGGAACTTTCTGTCGTGCTGTCGCGAGCCACGCTGTTTTCTACCGGTACCTCGGTTTCCTGGGTGCTCTGTAAAACATACGACTGCTCGTTAGTTTCGCGATCGAGGAAACCGGACAATTCCGCAGCAAGTCCAAATCCCAGCATGCTACGAGGACAAAAGACGTGAAAAAAGACAGATTTCCATCGAGCCACTTCTGACGCCACATTTTTATTGTTTTTAGTCTAGTAATTTTCGACTACTCCTTCGGATATTATTTTCTAATCTAAGAGAACTATGAAGCACCCTCCGCCATTCAAATGCATATGTACAACGGCGTGCATCGAGGCCTATTCGTGCTCGTTACCCACCTTACCGATAATGCTCGTTAGTAAGAATATTTTCTGTAGAAAAATTGACGGTGCTCGCCAGTGTACATGTACATGGAAAATACAATGCTACCTAGTGTAACGTTGTCTTCCTTTTACCACTTCCCCTTACAAAGGAAAGCCATTTATTCTCGCCACTGTACCAGAACCTTAGAATTGAATTTTGTCGAACGGGTAGCCCCGTTCGAAAAGATTTCTTTTCACGTTTTCGACTTGTATCGACATTCTGCATACAATAAATAGAATTTCGAATGGCTGGACAGAAAATCGTGCCTCATGCTTCGGACAGCGCAAAGAATTGGAAAACCCTGCTCTGGTGAACCCTTGGATATAAGAGAACTCTGGCATGCGCATTACAAGATGCTTACGACACAACAGATGCAATTACGGAAAGAGAGCATGAGATAGTATCGATGTCTAATAATAAAGTACAAGTTTTCTAATGCCATAAGTTCTAAACGTGTATAGCTCTAATTTATTGTACGTGTAACGATTAGTCTCAAAGTTTACGTCTATCAATGAGATTTCACGCTAATGAAATTCGTCTAAGTCGAGCGGCTAAATTGTTGTTATTATTAGTAACAGCGTTCCGACAAAGAAAAAAAAGGTAACCAAGGTATAAATCTTCTACACGGAAACTTGGAAGATAGAACTCGACTAACATAGCGTTTGGGCACCACAGCAACGAACGTTTCGTTTTTCATTCGATTACTTTGCGCGATTCTCGTATTCATCTATGCGTCGAGCTAACGATGCTCTACGGTTTTTTAGCGCCTCGATTCGAATAACAAGTCGTGTTAATATTGTCAAGAAAACCAAGAGGCAAACAACACAGGTGATGAATGGCAGTAACGGTTGTTCTTGGTGGGTGGTTCTGGTTGGTGGAAGCGTCAAGGGACGGTTTACGATATAACGTATGTCAGTAACATAGAGTAGACAGTTGTGTTAATCACGTTTTATTCGACAGAACGAAGGATGCATTTAACGAGGCCCCTCTCCTCTCTCTTAATCGTTGGACGACGAGGATGAAAAGAAGGACGTTTCCACTCAGGGAGAACCCGTTACGGTGAACCGATCGGATTTCTATTTCCAGGTCGTGCACGGGAACGCCGAGGAACAATAATACTTGGATCAGGTTCGTGCAAAAACCCACAAACGTCGATGTCATAGTGTCTCAGTCTCGTTCGATGCGTTATCCTTCGTCGAGAGAGAACGTTTCTTGTGATGGTGACCATGTCGGATGGAGATCGTTTTTGGATTCGACGCGGAGGATCGGCGAACAGGGAATTATCCGGGCGAAAGGCGAGTAAAGGAAAGCGAAGGAAAGGAGAGAAAGAGATGATTCCAGGTGAATGGAAAAACGATAGAATCGATATATTCTCAGACTAATATATCACAGAGAGACGGCTTTGGTTTTGTGCTTGGACCGTACGACGAGATACTTGGAACGAGGCGCCACCAAAAAGGTATTTTGGCTGCCTGAATTCATGCCAGGAGGTTGTGTTACATGTTAGTCACCTGATGGGTCTCCTGGACAGTTGTTGACGACGTGGCGTTGTTCGACAACTGACACGAAACCGAGCTCTCTTCCTGGTTCACGGTATCCACCAGAGATTCGGCTAACCTCTCCTTTAATTCAATGTCGGATTCATTGTACGAATTGAGGCTTATCGACACCGATTCCATCTTGAACTCTCGATTGCTCTGGTCGTCGTATAACTGTGTTTGCGAGGAGTCTTTGGTGGATGTTGTCAGGCCAGACGCGATACTGACATTGGACTGGGGACTGGGACTTCTAGGCGGTGTCAGAAGTGTCTCTGTCGGGTGTCTCGGGCTGGGCGCGTCGTTCTCGTCGGGAACTGGAAGCTCACTCTTCATTTCAGACACATTAATCGGGCAAGAGAGCTCTTCCGGTGGCAAGGGATATTTGGGAGACTCCGCGCGTTCTTGGGTAACGTCGTGTTCGGGTAACGGGGGTGGCAACGGATCGTCGGAAGGACCGGGAACGCGTTCGAGCGTGGACGGCGTTTGTCGAGATTCTTTCGCGGGACTGGACTCGTCTGCTGCTGGAACCGGGATATCCGAGAGAGAGCTATCGATCTGTTCTGCCGGCGAACGAGGAGACTCGTCGACCTCTTGGCTACTTTCTACGACTAAATCCTGGCTTTTCGAGTCGTCTACGAGGCAGGAAGGCACTGTTTTCGAATCGTGTTCGAGGTTCGCGTTCTCGGAATCTAACGTATCTCGAGGACTAGTAGGCACGGCTGATTCTGGCACAGGCGGAGGCATCGATTCTTTCTCCTCGGTTACCTCGTCGCTTATCTCGATTATTTCTAACTCCGCCTCTTTCTCTATAACGACGGTCGTCGGGTGGACAGGTTCTTCGGGAACGAGCGTGTCTTCTGGCTCTTCGACAACGAGGATCTCTTCGACGGGTACGACGATATCGGGTTCAACTTCCGGTTCCAATTTATCCTCCACGATAATCTCGATCTCTTCCTTGACCAGTTTCGAGACTTCGGCATCGGTGACCGCGATCTCCTCGTTCGTCTCCACCGTTACGTCCTCGTCCTCTGGAATGACCACGGCAGGCTTAGCCTCTACCAGGATCTCCTCCGAAAGCGGTATCATACCTTCTTCGGTTTCCAGAACCGTGTCCATCGCAACGACCGAGGGTTCAACCTCCTTTCTCACCGCTTCTTCTCGTATCACCTCTGGCTGCTCGATCACCTGTTTAACCAATTCCTCGACCTGTTCGGCCACGCTCACGCTTTCCGGCGTCTTTTCCTTCTCGAACGGGATAGGCTCCTCTTTCTCCGAGCCATCGGGCACAGCTTCCGATGCTTCGCTCTCGACCATCGGAGCATTATTCGCGTCGCAAACTACGTCCGATTTCGGAACGTGCGTCTCAACGGACTCGATTACATTCTCTTCGACTTTGGTCTCTTCGGTATTCTCCAAATCCACCGTTTCTTTTCTCGAGGACGATGCCGGACCTTCCACGGGTCCCTGTGTCGCGGTGCTCTCGGATGGAAGAACTGGTTTATCGCGGGGTTCGTCAACGTCCGTGTCCGCGACGACGGTCGACGACGGATTCTGACCTTCGGTCTTTCCTCCGTCACCTCTGTCGGAAGGGGATTTCGCGTTTTCCGTAATCGCGGATTCGCGCTCGCGCGAGTCGGTATCAACCACCGGCAGAGCTTCTGCCTTCGCAGGAACAGTACTAGATTCCGTTGGAGGGTTTACGTCCGCGGAAGAAGCGGGTGGTCTCTGCGGGGGACTAGTCGCATCGAGAGATTCCGCGGCGGTCTCGGTTGACGGGTCGTTACGCTCTGGACAGGAGGAAGGCGAAGAGGAGGAGGCTTGTAGAAGGCTGGTCGGAGAATCCTTGTCAGCAGCCTCTGCAGGCAAGTTGAAGGCCTCTGCGAGAGCCGTCGCGGTCGCAGCGGCCTGCTGAGCCTGCTGCAAAGGCGACGCGTCTATGGGGGTTGGCGGCGGACTGGACGGGGGCAGGGAAGGAATATCCTCACTGGTTTTCCTCTCAATGATAGACGGCGTAGCGACTGTCTGGACTCGGAAAACGGAGACTTCTACCGGGCCCGGTACGAACTGACCACCGGCTGGACTGACCTCGACTACTTTTTTCTCGGCCTCGACTTTTTCGACTTCCTCTTTCTTTTCCTCGACAGGGACGGGAGTTGGGGCAGAGGGAGTGGGTTCCTCTTGCTTTTCGTCCGCGGGGCTACTAGCTGCAGACGCTGGGCTCTCTTCCTTCGTCTCGGCCGACGGCGTTGACGCTGCCGCTGCTGTTGGGCTGGCTTCGTTCTCCGCTGTTGGACTACTTACTGCCGATTTCTCTTCGACCGGGCTACCTGCCGTGGCTGATCCGTTCTCCGCGTCTTCTCCACCCTGCAACAAACACCGATCATTCAGACTATTGTTCCGCTCTCGAAAAAATTCTACATCGATTAAAGACCGGATCGTCGAGGATCAAGTTTTGCTCGCAGCACGATATTATTTTCTCGTTCGTTCGCCGACGATGACCAACTTAACGGTCGGCGAGGGCAGCGCGCTTTGCGACCGATTCGAATAGAAAGGAGGGTGAACAACCTAGCGACTCGTAGACAACAGGGGTTCACGAGAGGGTGGATGCCCCTACGAAGGATACCACGCAGGGGGTACACAAAGGGAGAACCATAGGGTGCCCAAGTACGGCGTCGTCGCCTTTTCAGGGGTGGCCAATCGTGTCACTGTGTCAGCGATTACTTGGCAAGCGCGACGTGATTGATCGTGATTTTATTGATAACTCCGGTTCGATGATCGCGCGTAAAATTTCACGGCTTCGTGTAAATTACGAGCAAGAAGCGATAAAAAGGCTTACTCGACCCGGTGAAGTGGAAGTTTTACACGAGATTTTATCGAAATATCCTCTCGGTTAACTAGACTTACTGTCAAGTTTTTATCGCGCGAAGAATCGTGCGAACCATGGAATAAAAATAGTAGAGAACGTTATGCTCGAATTCGCTCGATCCTTTATTCGAACGCGAACTCGACGAAAGAAGAAATCGGTGATCTGTTATTCGATCTGTTTAGTAATTTCAGGTAAGCGTACTCGCATTTTGACGCGGAAATACGAGAGAAATCAATTGTTGAAACCGAAGAGGGAAACAGAAACCGGACGTGCGGAACGCGGCGCGTGCTTTATCGTCCCCAGACCCGGTATCGATCGTCTGGTTAAGTGAAACCCCTTCTCGCCGTTCCTCCCGTGCATTTTCGTAAGGGGTAAGCTTCTCGCTTAAAGAATTACAGCCCCTGAAGGGTCGCGTACAAGGGCTTTCTAAACCGGAGTGTTTTTTCTTTTTCTTTCTCAGACGTTCCTGATTCCCGTGTTTCGCCAGCACCGTGTACACAATTTTTCAAAGCGACCAACGAAACTACTAGCCTAAGGAGAGAGAGACTCGCCGCCGTCTACAGGTATTGTACAGGACGTTTCGAAATAGTTTTCTCCCAAGGTTTTCGACCTCTCTCGGTGAACGGCCGACGAATCGAATGAGTCAAAGTACTCGCGAATCGCCGTTGCAAATTTGGCTAAACTTCAGAGAGAAGGCTAAAAGGACAACGGTGAAAAGAAGAAGGCTGGCGGTGAGCCAGAATCGTCGTTCGGGCCATTGTCCGCGACATGAATCGACGGAAGAAAGAAGCATCGCCGGTAATAAACTTCCGATTACCCTTGCTTTTCTTTCACGACGAGAAATCGATCGGACAAACGCGACGAAGCTCGCGTGCTCGAACGGATCGCGTCGCTGACCGTCACCCGCCGATCTCCGCTAGATTATAAAGCACTCGATGTCCGATAAATTTCTCTAGAGCAACGACTTTGTCGCACACCGATGTGACAGGATAGAGAAAACCTACGCACACATCTACCCACGACTGTTCCGAATATATATTTAAACGAGAATCGTAGATCTCGTCGAGTTTCGGTCGCTCGAAACACGTAGCCAAGTGTTCTACTGAATATTGCACGAAAAAGTTTCACCAGTCCTTGGTTCCATTTCGCAGCTAGTGGAAATACCGACTGTTATTTGAAGCGTTTCGCAAATACCGTGCTATTGAAATACTAACCAGAGCGAATTTATCGCGTAGCGATTTAGCTCGTGGCGTTACGACGCGTAGAAACGTAACGGGTGGCGATAAAACACCGTACTTCAAACTCTATTATGTTTCCCTAATTAATTGACTATTTTCCTAATCTAGAGCCACGATCTATCAACGGTCCCAGTGTCACCGCACGTTTCGACGACGATGAAATATCGCTTGACATTATGGCCATTGAAGCGTGCGAATTATCCTGGCATCGCCCACAACAGCTGGTAAGCTGTATTAGGACCGATCCTAGAATCAATTTCCTGTCCCGAAAAAAAGCGAAAGAAAGAATGCAAGCCAGGGGTGACGCGTGCCACGTGCTGGTGCAACAACTGTTGCCTGTTCCACAGTCAGGGATGATATATCTGCCAAGTACATACATTTCTGAAACGATAACGATCGAAAATGCATTATTTTTCAGAGCTCCCTAAGCATCTGGGTATCGGTTTACGCCAGCGACAGCTAATTATTTCCTCGTGCATTTTATTCTATGCGATTTCGTTAGCTTTCCGAATAAAAGATTGATCGCGCATTGTTAATACTCTCGTCGTGCTAGGTACAGATACTATCGTGGCAGTGAACGCGTTCAAATAATGTAACCCATTTTCGATAAATAGAAGATCAGCGATGTGTACGTCCTTCTTGCACTGATTACTCATTGTCTCGAATCGAACGCGCACGCTCGTAAATTTTCTTTCGTGTTTAGAATAGAATCTGTTCTTTTAACCTGATTTTTTTTTCTTCCCTTTTCCTCTTTCTTTCGTTTACCGACCTAACCCAGAATTGAATTACGACAGAAACGCTTATTCGGTCCACCGGAGCGTGTCCCACGGCAAATTACATCTAAACTAGAAGAAAGACGAGTCGAATTCTGTTCGTGGATTTCGCGAAAAAGAAGACGCGATCTTCTGAAACATTTTAGCCGTTGCACGCTAATCGAACACGAGATTAATGTAGCGTGCCAAGTAATTAATAGTCCCGCCAATTAGCTCGTTTAGCCGCGTTTTTCACGCGAGTTAACTCTGTACTCGAAGAGTCATTAATAATCGAGATACTCATCTATCACGAAAACCAAGAATCTTACCGTCTTCGGGACGAGGTATCTTAAACGAGCGTGACCGAACATAACGTTAGGAATATGTAATGAAGTGTTTATAATGTACACGCAAATTGGCAACGATATAACGTGCACGCAAATTTCCCAAGAACAACGAAAATCGTGAAAGGAAGGACAGGAGCGTATATCCGGATGCTCTTTCCGCGAGACAATATGATCGAATTTTAACAAGGGTGGCCGAAAGCTTTCGCGTTAGTCGAAAATTCAATAATGTTTCCGGGCAGCCTTTGATCGTTGATCGGGCATAAATTCAATTTGCATTGTGTGTCACGCTAGGCATACGCGATTAAATTTCTCCCCGATAAAGGACTAATACGTATTCCTGGTCAGATATTAATTTTCCTCGATTCGCCAAACAGTTCTGCGCGGATTAACGCGATACGTTATATCGCGTTCATTCCGTTCGAGCGCGGTTATAATTCGATACGCGAAACCTTAAAACGCGTTCAGCCAGCTGGAACTCGAAGCAGCCGTCGAACACGAAAAGTATGATATCTGACGATTACTCTTGGTCGATGTACACTCTGGTGCAACGTGGGCTTTCTCTGGATAAGGATGAACGTAACTGCACCCTACTTACCGATTTCACGCAATTAAGTACTGTGCATACTCGGGTAGGCTTTCTTTAGATATACACCGACTCGACAATTTTTTAATTCCGGAATGTTCACATTTGCAAATCCCCGAGTTCCTACATTTTCTAAACTATCGAAATCCTCAGAGTCCGTTTCCAAGTCATGTTCGCATTTGACTGTACACGGAGTACATAAATTACAATGGTCGCGAGTGTAGTCTTTGCAAGTGAACATTCTTGTTCGCGCTAGACGAGAAAGCATTTTGCGAGCTTTCACCACTGTTCGACTTTATACGGCTCGCGACTATTTTTACGCGGCGAGTGTCAGTTTACCTTTGTTCTTCGTTCAAACGCGTCGAACAATGGATAATTACGTAAAATATAAAACGATATCGAACGATAAGACAATGCTAGATGTAAATAAAATAATATCGATCGATGTATGAACGAGAAATTTATAGATGTCTTGGAATGTAGCAATTGACTCAAAGTTATTCTTCCAGACAATAGTCATTAATATGTAGTAGACGAAAGCTAAAGCGATACTAATTACATCTAAATGTACAATCTTAATTAACTAGTTGCGAAGCGAAGTGAAAGCTTGTTCAAAATGACTGGTGTGATCAATTATCGAATTTACTTGTACGAAGGAGAAACGCATCGTGCAGAGGCAGCGATCTTCGAGAGCTCGTAAACTGCGCAAAATTAGAAGATGACGAGGACGAAGTCTAATACGATAGGTCAGGTTTTATTAGACAGATAAGCCTGGTAACTGTTTTACGATCGAGCAATCGTAGAAATACGATACAGTCAACGTGTTCGGAGTCAACGACATAATTGCGTCAATTGGTGATCGATACAAAGCCCGGTTTCTATTTAATCCACCCTCTAATCAAGTATTTAAGCGAGGCCAGTCCTCCTCTCGAACCGATAACACGACGTCCACGAGCGGATACCAAAGCCATTAAGTTGTGCATGCCACCTGGGAACAGTTAATCAGCGCCGGAAATAGGCCCGGATCAGGGGAACCGTTCAGTATGTTGTCCTAGGTAATAACCGTATGGTTCATGCTGCGGCCTAGTAGGGAAACTCGAAGAAGGGTTAAGCGTTCGCTCGAATTTGCACGAGCAAAGATAGCGGTGCAATTGTTCGGAGTTGAACGAACGTGTATCAACGATAAGTAGAAGCAAGAATGCGTATATCGTACCACGGTGGACTTCGGCTCGTCGACTTCCGGCGGAATCGCAGCGACGCCCAAAAGCGGCACGTAAGACAAAACTCTTCTTGCGCCGCGAGCGAAGGCACCTGCCACTCGATACACGCCACTGCCCACGTTTCGTCCTGCCTTCGTGATCGAATCCATTTTCTCGCGAAAACTTCACGACACTTGCGCTTTTTCCGACACACCTATGTCGCCGACTGTAAATACGCCTAACTGAAACGGACGACCAAGATGCGCGAGGCCAAATTTCCAGTTACGTTGAAAACAAACTCTTAATTTAGACGCGAGGCGTATCCTCCTCCGTCGTCATTTCGGTCCATACACGTACAGGGTAAAACGGAAAACGCTCT